TATATACCGGGTGGAAAACTTGGGAGGTTTTTTTAAGGCACCTATGCCCATGGTCCCTTCATAAAATAGGAACCTAAATGTTATCGACTGGGTGGCTCACACCCGGGGGGGACAAAAATCGACCAAATTTTTCCTTGAAAGCTCTGCTTTAACAAAGGGGCGCCCCTTTCTATTATATAGTAGTATGTCATTGAGTCAACTGGGCCCTTTTATTTTATAATGTTTTGTAGAAATAGGTTTATTAAAAAGGGTGTAATTAAAAACCCCTTGCGGGGTGTGAAAGAGTTTACCGGGCAGGAAATGTGAGAATTACCTTGCAGATGAATAAACAGCATTCCCTTAAAGATTTTTAAAACAGTCTTATCATGTGATGTTTAAATATCAGTACCTTAAAGTAATTAAGCCTTCATTCCCTTGGCAAGTGTTGAAAAACCCTGAAGTTCGTGGTTCAAAATTTTTCCCCCACGTTGGGGGCAAACCCCCAGCTCCCCAACACACGAGCGTGAAGCGTGGGGAAATTTCCACACTCACCCTCTGCGTCTAGCCCCCTGTTGGTGGTGGTATGATGGGTAGTGGCGAGTGGTGAGGTGGTGTTGGTGATGATGTGATGTTGGGGTGAGGTGAGTGTTGATGGTGAGGTGAGGGGGTGGGGGTAGTGTGGGGTGTGGTGAGCGTGGTGACGCAGTAGTTTATATTATTTTATGGCACAAATAATTATATACCCCGTAAAGGTGATATATTAACCCCCAATTTTGTCCGTTTTTCTTTTTCCTCTAAGATTTTCTAGGGTTATGGACAACGCCCTTCTGGGAAAGTGTGGGGGAAAAACTGCCATTTTTTAATTTAAAATATTGACATTCTCAGTACAATAAATTTTTTTTGTAAGAAAGTTTCGGGAAAGTATTATGCTGTGTATGACCCAGTTGCCCCTTAAAAAATATTCCCACACCACCTCATCATAATTGTTGATGCTTTTGTCCTGTTGCGATTAAAAAAAAAAAACTTTATATTATTTTTTAAAAATATGTTGCTGTGGATTGTTGTTAGTTTATTGCGGAAGTTTGAGGTGATGTTTGAGTCGTGAGATATTTCTCTACAATGTGCGGAAATAAAACACTGTTTGTGGGGTACCAGTACTTGACCGGGAAAAATTGTTTCAATTGTTTTTTTGGGAAAAATTAGAAAATTTAACGCTGAGAAAACCCATAAGGTAAAAAAATGTTATTCTGAATACTTTCCTGACAATATTAAAAAAACTTTTTATGCTTTCAACTTATAGGGTCTAAAAAATAATAATAATAATAATAATAAAAATAATAAAATAAAAATAATAATAATATTATTTCTACAAGTCATGTAAAAGGGTTTACATGATTATATGGTAAAAACCCTTGGAAATAATACCGAAATTGGTTTAGAAAGACACTAAGCAAACCATGACATATTTATTGAAAACGTTTCGGTCTGGGACCTTGATCCTAACCATAAGAGAACGAACGAAAGTTCGGTAAGATCCCAAATGGGATGAGGGGGGGAAGAGGGGGCGACGAAGAACATGCTGGAGAGGAGTGTTCTTCTTTTTTAATATGTCCAAGAATTGTTTTAATAAAGCCACGGGATGGCGAAACTTTTACAATAAAAAACCAGAGTTGACAAGGTTTAACTTTCATTTGTCGGTTTTTGTATACCTGTCTTGCACAACGTGTTCAAAGTCGTAGAAAAGGCCGGGGCTTAACCAGCAGGACGGCGATCGGGGGACAGTATTGAGAAGAGAAATTCGTCTCTTTGTTGGGCCCCCCGTGGGGTGAGGGGGGGAAAAAGGGACAGCGACGTTTAGCGCTAGAAAAGGATGTAGAAGGGGGAAAACGTGGGTCAGGGAATGGTCCTGTCATAGAAAATGTGTGCATTAATGCATGAGTGTTTTGTGGGGGTATTCACTAATTAATAATTTAGGTAAAGATGAGTTGGGGGGAAAGTGACCCAAAAATCACTTAGTTTCAATATATCAGGGAATTCCCCAGTAACTGAAATCAAACTCTGTCCAGATTTTCGCTTGGCCGATTCAGGGGACAAAAATTTTACCGGGGTGGGCTAAATTGGGATGTCTCCCTAGGGCAGGTAGGTGATCTTGGTTCCAAATATGAGGTTTTCGAGAAAGTTCTAGTCCCCAAAGACTTTTTTTCCCGATAGGGAAAATTAGTCAAACAAAAATTACCCCAAAAGGGAAAAAGGACAATAGATTAAAACATTCAATGGCCAAAAGGGGCCATTATAGGGTTCAAAAGAGGGGATGGGCAGTTAAGAAATCAAAATTTTCAATTAAAGAGAAATAAAGAAAAGGAATAAAAAGCGAAAAACTAAGGTCACAAGGGGTTTAAAGAAGTTGCGTGTCAGCAAACCCGCAACACTGCAACTTCTTGGGGTCTTAATACTTGGGAATTTTTCGCTTTCCTAATTCTTGGGCACGACCACTTTTCCCCATTGACAAATGTGAACCCCCTATGACTTGCACCTCTCCTGCCAACGGGTTTTAAGCCCTCTCCGCACGTATGCCGCATTCTATTCAAAATTGATGGGCTGACCACATCGATCAGGTTGAGGGATATTACTTCATTCTTTTCCTGTTCTTAAGTTCTCCTTTGTAGGGGCTGATGAAGCCATGTGTGGGAAACGTTTTATAAAAAGATACCCCAAAAGTGGTACTGTGTCAAAATTTTCAAAAATTCGGTTCTCTGAACCCTTTCTACAAATGGCATAGGCCCGATAAGTGGGAAAAAGGGGAAATGTAAAACCTATTTTCAAAGGGAGGTGACAGGTCCCTTTGGCTTCGAAACATGACCAATAAAACCTTACCTCCATAGTGGGAAAATTATGAATAAAAAAATTGCCGAAGTAGCCCTCTTGATAGGACAATTGATTAATGAATCTCAACACGGTTTTAAAATGGGGTCCCGTCTTACGAATTTATAACTTTTTTTTCTAAGGGGTTTTAGGGGTAGATCATGGTAATGAATATGAATTGTGTCTATGGGGCTTCCCGTAAGGGGTTCGATAAGGGTTTCCGCTCAGAAGCTATTAGGGAAAATTAAGGCACACGGAAAAGGAGGAAATTTTTTTTTCCTGGGTTTAGGCATGGTGAAAATAAGCACAGAGATTTGCAAAATGGGGAGAAATCGAAGGGGGATGTCACAAGCGGGTTTCCAGGGGTCGTGTTTGGGGGGTTTTTGTTCACAATTTAGAAAAAAACATAGATGAGGGAAAAAAAGCGAAAGCAAATTTGTGATGACACCAAAAATAGGCCCTCCAGTTATTCAATGAGGACATTAGAGCACTCCAGGTGATTTTAATAAATGATGCAATGTTTGGAAAGTGCGATGCGTTTAAAATTGACAAAGCAAAGTTTTTAAGTTGGACATTAAAAACCATACCACAAAAATAAATAATGTGATTTAAAAACTACTGATTGCGAAAAGGATTTAGGAGTTTGGTTAGCAGTAATCTAAAACCAAACCGTGCGTTGTGTTCGAATAAACTAACAGAATTCTTGGCTTCAATCTAGAAGATAAAAAATAGAAATCCTCAGGTTCTTCAAATCTTATACCTTTGGGTTTGGCTATTTGACTATCCTCCAGTTCCCGGGCCCCGTTTTTACAGAATGGATATAAATGCTTGGAAACGTACGAGGAGGATGACAAAGATGATCCCATGACGAAATCTTCCCCCATGAGGGAAAATGAGGGCTCTGAATCTGCGCCCTCTCGAAAGGGTTAAAGAAACGGGTAATATGTAGAGTTTTATAAATGGAAAACAGGAATAAATAAAGTGGTTAAAAAGCGTGTTTTAAATTTCCCGCCAAGACAGGGCTCGCAGCAATGGTTTCAAGTTGGAAAAATTCGATTGGAAGGATTAGGAAGCACTGGGGTTTGGGAATAGAGTTGTGGATGAGCGGAACAAACTCCCCAGACAGTTTTTCAAACTAAAAGTTTTGTAGTTTTAAAAATATGTTAGATAAATACATGTGGGGTGTGGGTGGTGTGAGTTGGCCTACTAGCTTGTGCGCTGGGTCTAGTGCCGTGCTCCATCCTTTAGGGGGGGGGACCAGACTGGGGGGTCATTTTGGGGTAAACCTGGGGGTAGGTCATTGGGGTTATGCGGGGGGGGGGCATGGATTGCTTGCATGGGTTTAGTGGCCTGTTTCAGTGTTCCTTTTTCTTATGTTTTTATCATAAAAAACCTACACGGGCGGGATTGAACCCCCGTTCAGAGAGTCCAAACTCCAGACCGTCGCGTTAGCCACTAACCAGCTAGCCACAATAAGATTCGTCCCAAATGGTATTTTCCACCTGGCTAAAGCGACGGTCTGGAGTTTTGAGACTCTCTGACCGCTGGTTCAATCCCGCCCGTGGTATGGTTTGTTTGCAATCGGTCATTACGATTTGTGAGTCATGTTTTTTCATTCTTGCCAGACAACGATATTTTAAAATCCTGTGTAAATTTTATCTATATATTGTTTTAAAATTCAATCGAATATTTTTTAAAATTTTGGCAAATTTTGAGCACGAATGGTTCGTTTTCAATTTTTCATGAAAAAGATAAGTTTTTTCTTTTTAATTTTATATAGTGCAACCCTGACTCGTGGACACTCCTTGTTCATTTCGGTGCGTACGAAATCTCTATAAAACTTTAATATTCATTATTCTCGGTTAGGGTAAGTTAAGCTATGTTTGGTTAAATGAATGAATGTTAATTTACACTTCGTTATATTTACTCTGCTGTAACGAAATAACTAAAGCAGTATGACATACATATGGGATATCTTGGGACGCTCCCCCTATGGAAGGCCACTGCTGGGTCACTGGATGGAGAAGACCCGGACCAGGACCGGTCCTGCCGAACCTACTTGTACCTGTACTTGTGTATCTTCACAAGCACTGTAAAAAAAGAAAATAGTGAGGACGGATTGAGGGCTGACCTTTACCGCCCATTATGAAGCTAAATACTGTTCCCTTGGGCCTGTGGTTGAACATGTCGCCTTGCTTGACGAATGCTTGAGTCAACCAGTGGGAGGAGCTGATCACCACCACCCTCCGTAGCCCCAGCTGCACGCTACACAGTGGTCCGTACTCTGCAGCCAACCTGAAAAATATAAGTAATATGAGGAGTAAAGACAAAAGCATGCCTTAACAGCGGTGTCTGCAATATCGACGTCACGTGATTTCACTCACATTCTCTAATTGTGAGACAAACAGATTAGATTTTGCCACCGAAGTGGCTAGTTTATTGTACACCCCATATCCATCCTGTGGACGGTGGAAAGGCTATGGTCCCAAAAAGGCCTAGGAACTAGGCCCCAAAAAGTTTAACGGTGACATATGGATTTTTTAATATCTTTGTTCAATTATTGTTACAAGAAAATTTTAGTAAATTTGTTAGTATATCTGGTATCTTTTTTCTTTAAATAAGATATTTTGAATGTCACATAGGTTATTATAGTCTCTGTATTCCCAAAAAGGGGACAATGAAAAACGAGCGAAAAAAAACACATGAAGAATATTGGTTTGATCCCAGTTTTCAAAAATTTTCCCCTACGAGGATAGACTTAGGCCCTAAATTGCATTCTAAAAGGGGCATAGAATTGGGGGGGATTGATTGGGCTTTTATAAAGGGGAAAACAGGAATAAAGGGGATGTAAATAAGTGCTAAAAGAATGGAAAAAAGGGAAAAAAGATCGCGGCAATGGTTTCAAGTTGGAAAAAAATTAGTTTTGGACCTGCGGCCCTAGGCAGTGGGTGACTTGGCCTCTTTAGCAGGGGCCGTAGGCCTGTTGCAGTGCTCCTTTTTCGTATTAAAATGTTTTCCTTGCCCCGTTTTTCCCATTCGCTTTTAAAAATTATTTAGGTAATCAATAGCCAAATATTTCTTTTAAACCCTAGAGAGAAGAGATCAGGGTTTCTTTTCCCCCTTCAAAACAAGGTTTTTTTTTACGTTAAATACAGTAACCAAGTACACAGCCTTCAAAAAATAACAGTAATTAATATTTAATATTGGTAGAATTCCGATAAAAAAATTAAGTAAAAAGGCAAATGGGAACTAATGTGAATTTTCTTGTGGCAAAGTTTCGCTCTCCAGGGCTTTATCAAGCCGTTAAATAAAATGTCACTTATTGATTTTTGTCTTTGCCTAAACAATAGCTGATGTCAATGACATACTATATAGAAAGTCCCTGGTTATGCAGAGAATTTCGGGGAACTTAGGTTACTTTTGTACCCAGACTTCTTGTACAACACTATGTACTGATAGTTGTGTCTGGAAGAGTTCTTGTACATAGATAGATGTAAGCCATAGCTCAGTGTCCTCCTTTGCGGATGACGCCCGAATTTGCATAACAGTGTCCTCCATCGAAGACACTGCAACAATACGAAGTTCAATGAAGAGAAATTTCATCTATTCAGATACGGAAAACTTGAGGATATTAAAACTTTATCAGAGTTTAAAACAAATTCTGACCAAACAATAGAGCGAGAAACTAGTGTGAAAGATCTGAGAGTGATAATGTCAGAGCATCTCACCTTCAAAAACCACAACAATGTATCTACCTCATCTGCTAGAAAAAATGATAGGATGGATAATGAGAACTTCAAAACTAGGGATGCAAAGCCCATGGTGATTCTCTTTAAATCGCTTGTTCTCTCTAGGCTGGAAAACTGCTGTACACTAACTGTCCCCTTCAAGGCAGGCGAAATTGTTGACCTGGAGAATGTACAGAGAACTTTCACAGCACGCATAAATACGATAAAGCACCTATAGTACTGGGAACAGTTGAAGTCCCTTGATTTGTATTCCTTGGAACGCAGGCGAGAAAGATAAATGATAACATACACTTGGAAAATCCTAGAGGAATTAGTACCAAACCTGCACACGAAAAATCACTCCCTACAAAAGCAAAAGACTCGGCAGAAGATGCAGTATTCCCTCAATGAGAAGTAGGAGGCCAACACATTAAGTGTCAGGGACCCAAGACTGTTCAACTGCCTCCCGGCATACATAAGGGGGATTGCATATAGACCCCTGACTGTCTTCAAGAAGGCGCTGGACAAGCACCTAAAGTCAGTACCTGATCAGCCGGGCTGTGGTTCGTACGTAGGTTTACGTGCGGCCAGCAGTAACACCCTGGTTGATCAGACCCTGATCCACCACGAGGCCTGGTCTTAGATTGGGCGGCGGGGGTGCTGATCCCCGAAACCCTGGGACGGACCTCAGTGTGTGAGCTGAATGCACTACCAACTGAACTACGGGATACCTGCAAATATCACTACTTTTCACGTGTAAACACGGACCTTTTGCATGTGCACACGGAGCTTCCACATATGCACACGGACCTTCCGCATGTCCATGCTGACTTTTCTCATGTACACACTGACCTTTCTAACGTACACGCTCACCTTCCGAAGTAAGTGACTGAGTCTTCCCAGAGAAGGTCGAAGAGACTGCCTACGAGGGGTAGACCCTTGGGTCCTGGTGGCATCCCCAGGTCATCAGGCTGGTTCAAGACCGAATATACCACCAGTAGCAGCAGCGCCACCAGTACCACCGTCATCCACCACCACATCGCTCACACACTCGCCACTGTGGTTACAGAACCTCGCATGGGTTCTGACGTGTCGTCTAGGATTAGTCTTGTAGGTTCTTAGAGCAGTTTTTTTCCTGATGTTCAGGTGCAAATATCCTCACTTTGGAATACATGCCACGTCTGAAATGCACTTATCTCTGTCTCTCTTTTTAACTAGTTTATGTCGTAGCTATGACACGCGAGAATTTTCTGATATATCATGTCATGTGCTGTATACAGAATGTATTAGAGAATATATCACGTGAAATTCCTATTCGCTATTCGTACACTAAACACGAATATCTACTATTAGTGCTGTACATGAGTGTCATTTATCAGGTTTACTTCTAATATTTCAGATTCCATATTGTTTTCCTCTCCTTAACAATGCAATTTACATCATGTCTCTCCCTCTCGTTAGCTATACATACAGTTTTCAGTATGTATATCTTCTCGTTAGCTATACAGTTTTCGCTGTATGTATCTCCCTCTTGTTAGCTATACAGTTTTTCCATTTACTAATTAGATAGCCACGGGAATATAAATTAATGGAGCATCATCAGGTGCATTAAGTTCAACTTTTTCACCATCATTCCTGGTATGTACAAAATTTATCCATTCAATTTTCAAAATATGCTGAATATTATTAAAGCATGACATGAGAATTATTATAACTCGTTGCTGCTTGTGACATTATACTGGGTGTGTTATCCTAGATCACAGTCCCTACTTGTGTTACTCTGTGACTTATGGAGAAGACCCGAGCCAGGACCAGTTTTGGCAAACCTGCATAAATGAACTTATTGACTAAAATTGATATTATCTCCCATCTTTGAAAATGGCCTAAACTTTTTGAAACCGTGGTAAAATTATCGAGCGAAACGTTGCCACAATAAAATGTCACATTAGTTGCATCTGTGTCTATGTACCTAACTTTTTGAAACCACGTCGAATTTTTTTTTTATTAGTCAGTAGTCATTATGCGAATCGAAATTTGTTTAAATATGAAATTGACTCTTGTCAGCGTGTCCAGCAGAGTGATCCCTCGTCCCTCTTCATTTCTCCCTAATTATTATGGAATCACAGAGTGCTGAACATCTGGCTCTTCAACGACTGCACTGTAGCTGTTACCACAGACTGCCACAGAAAATAGAGTAAATCAGAGATCACAGGGAGAAACTAGGACTGTCGCAAACACACTCCTATTACGAACACAGGTAAAGTATGTCCTACGAATGGTCGTAAGGGTTTCAAATTGGAGCAACAAATCGGCAATAGTAATAAATTGCATTTCCGCACCAGATATAATTTGATATAAAATATTTAATATATATCTATTATATATATATATATATATATATATATATATAATATATATATATATTATATATATATATATGCAAAACAACCACTCTGAAAGATGAGAAATTCCAAGCGCTTTCGTGACTACTCACATTATCAAAGGACCAGTTCCTTGTAATGTGAGTATTCACGAAAGCGCTTGGAATTTCTCTATTCTTTCAGTAGGGGTTGTTTTGCATATTCTGAAATCACCTGTTTACTGTGATCTTATTGCATATATATTATATATGTATATATATATTATATATATATATATTAATATATATATATATATATTATATATATATATATCTATTATATATTATATATTAGCAAAGATAGTGTGAATAGTTAGTATATCATACGTAATAGAATGGCAAAAGCAGAAGCCAGAGAGTGGCACCGTATCAACGGAGGGTCAGGACACAGTCTACCACATCGATACCATGCTAACCCTTCTAGGGTATGGTAGGTGCCTGAGCCCGAGCCTTTAGCTCATAAGACTGTATTCCATTTGCCCTTGGGTCGGGATGCAGACCAGAGAGGCCTACTTTTTTGGATAGCCTGGGGACAGTTGGAGTCCCAAAAGATGAGGAGGCACTTGTGCCTCCTCCCATGGGGGACTAAGGTCTAAGACACTCCCTAAAGAGGGAGCCAAGGCCGGGCCACCACTTGGAAAAAGGCCCGGGCGGGAGAATACCGGCTATTTCATTTAATATAATAATAATACAAGTCTGAAAAGTTCACTTGGCACAAGTAACCCAAGTTGCTTCAGCTTTGACGGACTTAACTGTGATTGACACCAATGAACAAGGTACTGATTTAACGGACGGGTACCTATGAGCAACCGGTTTCACTGGTTGGGAGGCAGTCTGTATAGTAGTGTACCATAGCTGAATAAATTTGTAACATACTCTTTGCATGCTACACTGTCAATTCGAAGATCATCCCACTGAAATGATCAATTATCAAGTTACGATCTCCTTTATATACTGCGTTAACGCTTTAAGGTTCGAGCCCTATGAACTCCGTCAAGGGAGAGTGGTGTGTGTGTGTGTATATATATGTACCCGACTATTCTGCCTTCTCTACCATAGTGAAATTTTATAAACCAGACATCATACTTTTCACTTGGAAATTTCCGTTTTGGGTTTAACATAGGCAACTGGAGTACTATGGAAAAAAACTGTAATTAAAGACTTTTGAAGGCTGATTGGAGATGTAGACATCACTCTCTGTATCCCTAGTTCCAAGAAGTCTCCAAGGACCTACGGTTTCACCAATACACGACTTATTATTTCCTAAATTATTAAAAATATTGTTGAAACAGGTGGACATTCAGAGAAAGGACTGGTTAAGGCTCCGACCTCGGTCGTTAGGACTGAGGTTCGAGCGCTTTCTTCTATTTAGGTATTGGAGCCAAGCTCGGTCTGTATCCCTTTTACAATGCACTTGTAGAAAATAAGATATTATTATTATATTATTATTAATATCAATTAGCAACCTTGATACAATATGCCACATTCCTGCTTGGCTACACTTGTTGAAAGGTATATATAACAGAGGAACACACAATATTTCCCCTCGTCTCACTGAAGTATCGAAAAATTTCATCTTTTTGATAACTCTTTTAATTTAAATCATTGAACACCAATATTAGTATTTTTAGCTCGTCCAACCAATACTTGCCGGGAGGCTAGTCAAAATTGATATTATAAATAGTAATGGGGTGAAAATAAACCAGAAGATAGAGTACTGTTTATTTTGGACTTAAAATAAAAATAAATCTTGAGTCGTAGGGACTAGAAGAGATCGCAGTCATTGGCATTTTAGAACTGCGGTGCATCTCGTTAGAGCTTCGCTATGAAATGCTGCTGCAGGAGGATTGGAGTTGATTGATATACGGTTAAGAGTAAAGTGTATTTATTTGAAGTGGGGGTTACGCCGGTGCGGGGGCTCAGGTGGCCTGGTGTTAACGCTCTCGCTTCACACGGTGAGGGCCTGGGTTCGATTCCCAGCCAGAGTAGAAACATTGGACGTGTTTCTTTCCACCTGTTGTCTATGTTCCCCATCAGTAAAATGGGTACTTGGGTGTTAGTTCATGGTAGTGGGTTCGCATCCTGGGACACTGACCTAAGGTGGCCTGGTCACAGACCGGGCCGCGGGGCGTTTACGGACCCCGAAACTCTCTCCAGGTAAGTGGGAGGGGCGTGAATGACTTACTTGAAGGGTGCGAAATGTGGTGGGGAGGTCGAGATGAAGGTGTGTGAAGACCTTGTTTTGCGGCGTTGCTCCCATGTATGGGACCCTATAAAGTTCGAGTGGTGTTTTAAGCGTGTTGTAAGGGCGAGGGTAGTCGCGAAAGGCTGAGAGTATGTCCTATGTATGCGTTGGAAGGATATATGGGAGAGATTACGGATGATGCGCGTGCGTCCAAAATGTGCGAGAGGTATTTTCCGTTTTTCTCCTTTGTAATACTGCCGTCGGGTGCTGCAAACTTAAGGAAAGAGGATTGATGGTGGAGGGGCGCGTGTCGGGTGTGCGGGGATGAGGAGACGGCGTTTCATGTAGTGAAATTGCTGTGATAATTTGGGGGTCTCAGGGAAATGTGATGGGTAAGGTTTGAGGACAGCGGGAGGAGGCGGATATCAGTATTGAGGGCGTAAGTTTGCAAAACGTGCACTCAGTTATAATTGCGGATTTTGTTTTTTGTGTATCCTGGGCGATGAAGAGGGGAATGGGGATTGGGAGGTGCGCAAAAGGGTGTTGGCGGCGCCATTTACAGAACGTTTGGTTGTAATCGGGAAATATATGGAAGTCGTGGGACCAGGCTTTTTCAGCAGGGCAAACCGTAGTATGATTGGGAGAGATACCCAAATAACCCGCACATAAAAGACATAATTTACGACGACGTTTGGGTCCGGACTTGGATCCTTGACACAAGTCAATGTGAGAGCATTGTTAGCGTTGTGAAAGGGGGGGAGGGGGGTTGAAGTTCAGGGGATGGAACGGGCTCGTCTCCGGGGTTGGGTATGCACAAGGGCTGTGTTGCTGTGTGTATCAGTGTAATGTGTGGTTGTGGTGAATGTGGTTGTGTGAGAGGATGTGGTGGTGCAGTTATATAATGTGTTCTAGCTGTCTTATGTCAGAGTCTACTGCCTTCTTTCTTTCTTGAAGTACTTGATTTACCTTTAGGCTTTGCCCTGGCACACGGGGTTTTATGTGTTTGTACCGAGCATTTTATTGCTATATTATATAATGTGTATAGCCTGTAGATGAGTGCGGAATGCTTATGGTTTTTCTAGTTTTGTAGCTGACTCGTAAGACTTGTGGTAAGGCGAGTATGTCTGACTGTAGGGAACTTATGTACTGGGGGGCTAGTTGAGTAAGAGTATGTACTTTGTTTTATCATGAGATTGTGATGTAGGTCCTTTCATTTATTGATTATTTGTGTAGGTTGTGCGTAACCGATATATTTATATATTTATCGTAATATTCTTCTTATTGTATTGTGCATTGGCAATATGTCACAGTAATATTATGTAAATAGTGTATACCTGAAGGGTTTATGGATTTAATTATATTATTGAACCTGCTACAGGGGCCACCTACATGTTATGTCCTTGTTGTTGTTCTTGTGTGAATAGGATTAAGATTACCCATCTTTCTTAATGTTATGTTTTGCCACAAGCAATATTTTCTAATATATTTGTGTAACCTCTTTGTGTCTGTTAATATTGTGTTTGTTATTTGCTATTGTACGTTCTGAGGGATTGTGTTTCAAAATGTGTTTATATTAAATGTATATCAACCCTTGTTTAAGGGGTTTTTATGTTAAGCTATGTATTGTATTTTAAATAAAATATAAAAAAAATGCTGCTGCAGGGTTTTTGATCAGGGAATTGGCGATACTCGCCACTTTTTTGAGATCAGACCTGATCTCAAGTTTTATATAGCTTCTGTAGCTTTAGCGCTTTCCAGTGACCTTGTGGGTTTACCGTTTAGTTATGATTATAGTAGTAGATTTCCAGGGAAGAGTCTAACAATAATACAGAACTCCTGGAGGCACTCTTCCTTGATCAATGTTGCACTCCTGGAGGCACTCTTCCTTGATCAATGTAGCACTCCTGGAGGCACTCTTCCTTGATCAATGTTGCACTCCTGGAGGCACTCTTCCTTGATCAATGTAGCACTCCTGGAGGCACTCTTCCTTGATCAATGTTGCACTCCTGGAGGCACTCTTCCTTGATCAATGTTGCACTCCTGGAGGCACTCTTCCTTGATCAATGTAGCACTCCTGGAGGCACTCTTCCTTGATCAATGTAGCACTCCTGGAGGCACTCTTCCTTGATCAATGTTGCACTCCTGGAGGCACTCTTCCTTGATCAATGTAGCACTCCTGGAGGCACTCTTCCTTGATCAATGTTGCACTCCTGGAGGCACTCTTCCTTGATCAATGTTGCACTCCTGGAGACACTCTTCCTTGATCAATGTAGCACTCCTGGAGGCACTCTTCCTTGATCAATGTTGCACTCCTGGAGGCACTCTTCCTTGATCAATGTAGCACTCCTGGAGGCACTCTTCCTTGATCAATGTTGCACTCCTGGAGGCACTCTTCCTTGATCAATGTAACACTCCTGGAGGCACTCTTCCTTGATCAATGTTACACTCCTGGAGGCACTCTTCCTTGATCAATGTTGCACTCCTGGAGGCACTCTTCCTTGATCAATGTAGCACTCCTGGAGGCACTCTTCCTTGATCAATGTTGCACTCCTGGAGGCACTCTTCCTTGATCAATGTTGCACTCCTGGAAGGCACTCTTCCTTGATCAATGTAGCACTCCTGGAGGCACTCTTCCTTGATCAATGTTGCACTCCTGGAGGCACTCTTCCTTGATCAATGTAACACTCCTGGAGGGACTCTTCCTTGATCAATGTACACTCCTGGAGGACTCTTCCTTGATCAATGTAGCACTCCTGGAGGCACTCTTCCTTGATCAATGTTGCACTCCTGGAGGCACTCTTCCTTGATCAATGTTGCACTCCTGGAGGCACTCTTCCTTGATCAATGTAGCACTCCTGGAGGCACTCTTCCTTGATCAATGTTGCACTCCTGGAGGCACTCTTCCTTGATCAATGTTGCACTCCTGGAGGCACTCTTCCTTGATCAATGTAGCACTCCTGGAGGCACTCTTCCTTGATCAATGTTGCACTCCTGGAGGGGACTCTTCCTTGATCAATGTAACACTCCTGGAGGCACTCTTCCTTGATCAATGTTACACTCCTGGAGGCACTCTTCCTTGATCAATGTAGCACTCCTGGAGGCACTCTTCCTTGATCAATGTACACACTCCTGGAGGCACTCTTTCCCTTGATCAATGTAGCACTCCTGGAGGCACTCTTCCTTGATCAATGTTAGCACTCCCGGGGGCACTCTTCCTTGATCAATGTTGCACTCCTGGAGGCACTCTTCCTTGATCAATTTGCACTCCTGGAGGCAACTCTTCCTTGATCAATGTTACACTCCTGGAGGCACTCTTCCTTGATCAATGTTGCACTCCTGGAGGCACTCTTCCTTGATCAATGTTGCACTCCTCGAGGCACTCTTCCTTGATCAATGTTGCACTCCTGGAGGCACTCTTCCTTGATCAATGTAGCACTCCTGGAGGCACTCTTCCTTGATCAATGTTGCCACTCCTGGAGGCACTCTTCCTTGATCAATGTAGCACTCCTGGAGGCACTCTTCCTTGATCAATGTTGCACTCCTGGAGGCACTCTTCCTTGATCAATGTAACACTCCTGGAGGCACTCTTCCTTGATCAATGTTGCACTCCTGGAGGCACTCTTCCTTGATCAATGTAACACTCCTGGGAGGCACTCTTCCTGATCAATGTTGCACTCCTGGAGGCACTCTTCCTTGATCAATGTAGCACTCCTGGAGGCACTCTTCCTTGATCAATGTTGCACTCCTGGAGGCACTCTTCCTTGATCAATGTTGCACTCCTGGAGGCACTCTTCCTTGATCAATGTTAGCACTCCTGAGGCACTCTTCCTTGATCAATGTTGCACTCCTGGAGGCACTCTTCCTTGATCAATGTTGCACTCCTGGAGGCACTCTTCCTTGATCAATGTAGCACTCCTGGAGGCACTCTTCCTTGATCAATGTTGCACTCCTGGAGGCACTCTTCCTTGATCAATGTAACACTCCTGGAGGCACTCTTCCTTGATCAATGTTACACTCCTGGAGGCACTCTTCCTTGATCAATGTAGCACTCCTGGAGGCACTCTTCCTTGATCAATGTAACACTCCTGGAGGCACTCTTCCTTGATCAATGTAGCACTCCTGGAGGCACTCTTCCTTGATCAATGTTACACTCCTGGAGGCACTCTTCCTTGATCAATGTTGCACTCCTGGAGGCACTCTTCCTTGATCAATGTTGCACTCCTGGAGGCACTCTTCCTTGATCAATGTTACACTCCTGGAGGCACTCTTCCTTGATCAATGTTGCACTCCTGGAGGCACTCTTCCTTGATCAATGTTGCACTCCTCGAGGCACTCTTCCTTGATCAATGTTGCACTCAAGTACTCTTCCTTGATCAATGTTGCACTCCTCGAGTACTCTTCCTTGATCAATGTTGCACTCCTGGAGGCACTCTTCCTTGATCAATGTTGCACTCCTCGAGGCACTCTTCCTTGATCAATGTTGCACTAAAGTACTCTTCCTTGATCAATGTTGCACTCAAGTACTCTTCCTTGATCAATGTTGCACTCCTCAAGTACTCTTCCTTGATCAATGTAGCACTCCTGGAGGCACTCTTCCTTGATCAATGTTGCACTCCAGTACTCTTCCTTGATCAATGTAGCACTCCTGGAGGCACTCTTCCTTGATCAATGTTAATCCTGACAACCTAACTCATCTTCCTTCTCATGTGCACTCCCTAGGCACCTTTCTTCCTTTTTATCAAAATTTTGTCATTTTCATCCTTGGTAATTTAAGGATTCTTGTAACCAAAATGAATTTACTTTTATTATTATTTTGTCTGATTGATATTGCATTCATTTTCAGAAAAAAAAACTAAACATTGTGTATACAGAGGAATTTTGCAGTGACATTAATCCTACTGAGATATTCACGAGTGTCAGTCGTGAAGAACAATATAACAAGCCTCACACTCACTTCAGTAATTGTTACGTCATGTGTTCCTCTGTTCCTCAATATCAACAAAAACTTTGATCAGAATTATTTTACTTAAATATTTGTACAGCATATCCAGGTATTACGGATGGAGACTGGCTCTAGAATTATACATCTCCAGGGTTAACCTCTATGTTAGGAGATCAAGTAAATATAATGATTTATTACTAGATTTATTGCAGTCTTAATGATCGTGGTAGATCATAAATATTAAATTTTAACACCTAACATTAGGCTTTCACAAGCTGCTTTTCAGTGTCTAGCTAGGCTTCCCTAAATGTGGGTGCCTTGATTTAGAAGGGCTCTTGATACAAGAAATAAGAACTACACTCTTCTTGGATTACCCCCTACTTCCCAAACAACTCTCTATTCCCCGTGATACAGCATCACTGAACGTGGATTTCTCGTCTCTTCGCGTCTAGCCAACTTTAGCAAATCTCTCGGTGAGAAGGACCTCAAACTCGCATGGGTTGAGGGTGACTCCACAGTTAAACTTGGTGGTGGGTCTGGAGTGACCCACTGGGATGCCGAACTCATACTTCTGCAGCATCCCCATCAGGAACTGGAAGGTCTCAATCCTAGCCAAGGATTCCCCTAGACAGTTGCGGCGACCTGCATGTACAAACAAAAGTCATTACAGTATAACACATATATAAATCTGATTGTTGAATTGATGTCAGAAAATTCCTTCATTTTCCACTCGCCGCAGTCAATGTTCACGATTTCTGTATTTCCTTGTTATTAAACCTTAACATTTATCGATAAGTTATTAATGTACATTCTGCGATCTCGTTGAAACTATTCTGTTAGCTTATATGCATCAAAAATTAAATTAGAAATAATTGTAATACTAGGATTCAATGTATTTTTTTCCACTGATACCGAAATGGTAGAGTTAGAGCCGGGTAGCAAGGGAGAGGAGAGAGAGAGAGAGAGAGAGAGAGAGAGAGAGAGAGAGAGAGAGAGAGAGAGAGAGAGAGGAGAGAAAGAGAAGAGAGAGAGAAGGGCGAGAGATGAGAGAAAAATGACAGGAAGAGAAAGAGAGGAGAAAGAGAAAGAGAAGACAAAAGAAAGAGAGAGAGTAGAGAGGAGAGAGAGATAAAGAAAGAGAGAGAGAGAGAACGTAAGAGAGAGAGAGAGAGAGAGAGAGATACTGACTTACTAAGACCCAACTGAAAGGAGCATCATGCTCGAGCGAATAATTTGACATCGTCGCCAAGAACCTCTCAGCCGAAAGTTTTCAGATCGCCCCATATCGTAAACACGGGTCATTAAGTGACTGGAAATAAAAACTTGTAAAGGGAACTGATTAAACACGCAATTCGATGTGAATAATGGTTTTCAAAACCGATAACGTTGAAAAAGTGAGACATTTTTGCAACATTTGGGTATCTTTATTCTGTAAACGTTTTGCCACACACAGTGGCTTCAGTCCACCAGAAAAAGTAGAATAAGAGGAGGGGGTTGAGGTAATCAGTCCCTCATTAACTGAGGGACTGATTACCTCAAGCTCCTCCCATTTCACCTTTTTCTGCATTGGACTGAAGAAGCCACTGTGGCGAAACGTTGCCAAAATAAATATACCCAAATGTTACAAAAGTGTCTCATTTATCAATGAACGCGAGTCTGGAAGGGGGCACTTTATTACCCCTGAACACCTCGGAACATGGGTTGTGGATTATGTTAGTCATTCTACATTGGCTGTGATAGATCTCGTCCGGTGCCATAAATAAATTTCTACAAAACAACTCAGCCGCCACACTAAGGATCCAGGATAAGGATTAACTTCCCTGTACGTCATGAATGACAATGCATGAATTTGCTCATTGCGAATTTTTCACATACGATTTGCTTGAGTCGATTTTGTGAAATTTCGGCTTGTAGCGATCATTAATATTTGTAACTGGGATTCGTGTACACTAAACTATGGGATTCCTAATTGATGACCTACAATTATTTCTTGGTTGGCTATCTAAATCACAAGAACTGTGTATAGTAATGTAGAGAGCAAGATAATTATCAGTTCATTGTGAGTTTTAACTGATGTGCATTTTTTCATGTCAGTTCGAAAAGTTGCAATTTAACATTTTTACACAAAGAGCTCCCAAGTTTACCTTCTTGTCCCAGTGGATGCCCCAGATGTTGCCTACGATCCAGGTTCTCTTAGGTATGCGATAGCCGCCCAGGGTCGTCTCTTCAGGGTTGCCATGCATGGCAAGAGGTGTGATGGAGCCGTAGCGGAAAACTTCGGTGATAAATGCTTCAGTGTAGGGCATCCTAACCCGGTCCTCATACCTACCGGAGTTCATAAATTGCAAGCTGTGTTATATTTTACTATTATCAACTTTAATTATCTAAACCCAGTTATACCCGATTCATTAAGGATTTCCTAGCCTAAATGTAATCCTCATAAATTTATAATGATGAATTTTGGGTACTTGTAAATAAGGCCTCTCTCCAGCAAAATGAATTAAATGGTAATAAAATATTTATTCTTGGCCAACGATCGTGCCGAATGTTGACACTCCAGGTTCTCTGGTATGAGATAGTCGCCAGTCTGATCTCAGGGTTGTCTGATGGCAAGAGAGTGTGATGACCGTAGCGGAAATTCGGTGATAATCTTCGTGTAGGGCATCCAACCGCCCATATAACGAGTTCCTACACCAAGCCTATATTACAGACACTTATTTCTACGTTATACGAATACATAAGATTACTGATCTAAATTACTATGAAACCTATAAGAGAATTGACTGAATAGGCTCCCCAGCAATACTTATGGTCAAATATTTTAGTTGGAAGCAACCTTGCCGATGATGACCTCCAGCTCTGGTAGTTTCTGGTTCAGGTGTCTGATAGAAGAGGAACACACGAGTAGTGACTAGGTATCAGTACCTATTAACACTGTCCTCAGCCACTACGTACTGATTGTCTGATAGGAAGATAAAGTTTGAGCCCTGGCATACAGTACTGTGAGAACCCGATACAGGATGTGAGGACCCTGGGCAACAGGTACCTGTAGGACTGGAGCAGACTACTTTGAAGGACCCTGGTAGCACAGGTACTTGCCCTGACACAACAGGTAACTAGTAGACACCTGGGCATAAGGTACTGTGCAGACCCTGGCATACAGGATTTGAGGCCCCTGGGCAACAGGTACTGTGAGGACCCTGGGCAACAGGTACTGTGAGGACCCTGGGCAGCAGGTACTTTCAGGACCCTGGGCTACAGGTGCTGTCAGGCCCCTGGGCTACATGTACTGTCAGGCCCCTGGGCTACAGGTACCATCAGGCCCCTGGGCTACAGGTACTGTCAAGCCCCTGGGCTACAGGTACTGTCAGGCCCTGGGCTACAGGTAGTCAGGCCCCTGGGCTACAGGTAGTCAGGTCCCTGAGTAACAGGTACTGTCAGGTCCCTAGGCTACAGGCACTGTCAGGCCCCTGGGTTACAGGTACTATCAGGCCCCTGGGCTACAGGTACTCAGGCCCCTGGGCTACAGGTACCGTCAGGCCCCTGGGCTACAGGTACTGTCAGGCCCCTGGGCTACAAGTACTCAGGCCCCTGGGTTACAGGTACTGTCAGGCCCCTGGGCTACAGGTAATGTCAGGCCCTTGGGCTACAGGTAGTCAGGTCCCTGGGTTACAGGCACTGTCAGGCCCCTGGGCTACAGTTACTGTCAGGCCCCTGGGCCTCAGGTACTCTCAGGCCCCTGGGTTAGATGTCAGGCCCCTTGGCTACAAGTACTCAGGCCCCTGGGCTACAGGTACTGTCAGGACCCTGGGTTACAGGTAGTCAGGTCCCTGAGTTACAGGTACTGTCAGGCCCCTGGGCTACAGGTACTGTCAGGCCCCTGGGTTACAGGTACTGTGAAGCCCCTGGGCTACAGGTACTGTCAGGCCCCTGGGCTACAGGTACTGTAAGGCCCCTGGGCTACAGGTAGTCAGGCCCCTGGGCTACAGGTACTGTCAGGCCCCTGGGCTACAGGTACTGTGCAGGCCCCTGGGCTACAGGTACTGTCAGGCCCCTGGGCTACAGGTACTGTCAGGCCCCTGGGCTACAGGTACTGTCAGGCCCCTGGGCTACAGGTACTGTCAGCCCCTGGGCTACAGGTACTGTCAGGCCCCTGGGCTACAGGTACTGTCAGGCCCCTGGGCTACAGGTACTGTCAGACCCCTGGGCTACAGTACTGTCAGGCCCCTGGGCTACAGGTACTGTCCAGGCCCCTGGGCTACAGGTACTGTCAGGCCCCTGGGCTACAGTACTGTCAGGACCCCTGGGCTACAGGTACTGCCAGACCCCTGGGCTACAGGTACTGTCAGGCCCCTGGGCTACAGGTACTGTCAGACCCCTGGGCTACAGGTAGTCAGAGCCCCTGGGCTACAGGTACTGTCAGCCCCTGGGCTACAGGTACTGTCAGAGCCCCTGGGCTACAGGTACGTCAGACCCCTGGGCTACAGGTACTGTCAGACCCCTGGGCTACAGGTACTGTCAGACCCCTGGGCTACAGGTACTGTCAGACCCTGGGCTACAGGTACTGTCAGCCCCTGGGCTACAGGTACTGTCAGGCCCCTGGGCTACAGGTACTGTCAGCCCCTGGGCTACAGGTACTGTCAGACCCCTGGGCTACAGGTACTGTCAGCCCCTGGGCTACAGGTACTGTCAGGCCCCTGGGCTACAGGTACTGTCAGCCCCTGGGCTACAGGTACTGTCAGGCCCCTGGGCTACAGGTACTGTCAGGCCCCTGGGCTACAGTACTGTCAGGCCCCTGGGCTACAGTACTGTCAGGCCCCTGGGCTACAGGTACTGTCAGGCCCCTGGCTACAGGTACTGTCAGACCCCTGGGCTACAGGTACTGTCAGCCCCTGGGCTACAGGTACTGTCAGACCCCTGGCTACAGGTACTGTCAGACCCCTGGGCTACAGGTACTGTCAGCCCCTGGGCTACAGGTACTGTCAGGACCCCTGGGCTACAGGTACTGTCAGACCCCTGGGCTACAGGTACTGTCAGGCCCTGGGACTACAGGTACTGTCAGACCCCTGGGCTACAGGTACTGTCAGGCCCTGGGTACAGGTACTGTCAGACCCCTGGGCTACAGGTACTGTCAGGCCCCTGGGCTACAGGTACTGTCAGACCCCTGGGCTACAGGTACTGTCAGACCCCTGGGCTACAGGTACTGTCAGGCCCCTGGGCTACAGGTACTGTCAGACCCCTGGGCTACAGGTACTGTCAGGCCCCTGGGCTACAGGTACTGTCAGACCCCTGGGCTACAGGTACTGTCAGGCCCCTGGGCTACAGGTACTGTCAGGCCCCTGGGCTACAGGTACTGTCAGACCACCAGTGATATTTTCAAAAGGAAAAAAGTTGAAGAAATGTTAAATTATTTTTTACAAGGTTAACAACAATTAAAATTCAAACATTTGCTTTGCGTAATTTCTTAGAAACAAATTGTGAACACTTTTCACTTAATCTCTGGAGGCCCTCCAGCTGGGCCCCTGGGCTGCAGCCCCTGAAACCCTTGCCTTAGTCTGGCCATGACTGTCTCTGTGTTTTAAGAGTAAATTTGTAACATTTGAAAACTGTCAACTGCATGTGAGTTATTAAGGCTGCAGTTCACCTCTACATTAACATCAAGACTAATGGCAAAAATCTGGATTTAATTAAGCTCTGTGTATATTTGTTGTGACGTAGTCAGCTCTCGGTGTATATACCTTGTCGTTTTTTTTTTTAAACCATTTATCACATATATACCTTGTCATTTTAAGTGTAGCTCAGATTGACGTAAATATATAATTTGTTCAAAATAATCACGTTGATTATATCGATATTTTATCTGTGAAAGCAGAGCTGTAAGACCCTTGTGGGTTTAGCGCTAGGTTTTTATTATAATTATTTGTGAAAGGGATTCGGAGGGCATACATTAAACGTCATGAATATTTTTTTAGTTATGAAAGAGTTGCAACAAATAACTACATTAGTTTAAAAACTTAGTATTCTCTCCTGCCTGTGAAGATTGTGTCAGTCTTGCCCTGCTGCAGCTGCCGTCTCTGCTCTAGCAGATACTGGTACATAAAGTCGAAGCCTCGCTCAGGATTGTCCAAGTTGGCTTTATGCTTCTCGATCAGTTCCGTGAAGTAGTCGAGGCGGTGAATAACGTTGTAACCCACTTTGAAGGCCTTTGGTTTGATGAAAGTCCCAATGAACCTAAAATATAGTGATCGTAAAGTTTTAAGTGTACTTTAAATAAATTTTGCAGCCAATATGTAAGTAGACTAAAATCTCGCAGTACTATGAAGAAAAGTTAAACTTCATTTTCACTCACTGTAATACAGGGGTGTAATTGAGGAAGCCTCCCTGCTCGACCAGTGTAAGGGACATTTCTAGGGAGTCAACGATCCACCTCAAGTTCTTGTCTTCCATGGCGAACCTCTCTCCTACGAACATGTGCCACACGATATTGAGGACAGACGTAGCTAGGTCATAGTGCAGATTATAAGGCTGACCAATCTTTTTCTGAGGACCAATGAAGCCAACGCAGATTAAAATCTTAAAAAAAAAATGAATTTCCACAGTATTTTAAGTAGTTTATTATTTATTTATTTATTTACTGCATTCCAGTGCAAACAGTAACTAGTCAACACACCTGAGTGGCCTCTAAAAAGTCGTGCAGCTCACGGTTGACGAATTCCTCGACGGACTGCTTGCCTAAGCCGAAGTCCCTCAAGACGTGAAGAGTGAACCGTCGTGACTCCCTCCATACTCTGTCCTCCGCGTCAGCGATACCTGCAGTGCATCAACAACTATATGCGTATTCATCCTTTCATATGTTTAACACAAACGCTATAGGGACAATAGGGCCAAGTGGTTCTGATTGGCCAGGTGGCCCTGCTAAATCACATAGGAAGCTGAATCGGGCATAATTTTAGTTAATGATCTCGGAATGTTAATAATAATAATAATAATATCTTTATTTCCACAAATACGTACATGTACAAGGTAAACAGGCCTAGCTGTCGGAGTATAAATGAGCATAACCGAGAAAATCAAACAGCACACCTTTCTTCGGTTGGGTCCTTTCAGTCCTTCCACATGATGCACCTCTCAAGGAAGGTTCCTTGATGCTGGTGAGGGGCTCTTCATCTAAGGAACTGGACCTGTGCTCCAGCTCCCTGAATTAAGCCTGAATACCTTCCACATCCCCCCCCCCACAGGCGCTGTATAATCCTAAGAGTTTAGCGCTTGCTTTCCTCTTGATTATAATAATATCCACCTGATGCAACTGACAGCAGTTAACTAACTCCCAGGTACTTATTTATTACTAGGGGAACACTGACAATAAGTGTAAAAGTCTTGTCCATACGTCTCACTCCACCTGGGTATTGAACCTGAGTCCCTTCAGTTACAAACCGAACGCGCACTGACCTTTGCCACCCATGATGAAGCTCAGAACGGTGCCTCTAGGTCGGTGGTTAAACATGTCGCCCTGCCTGACGAAGGCTTGAGTCAGCCAGTGGGAGGAGTTGATCACCACCACTCGTCGTAGACCCAGCTGTACGCTGTACAGGGGGCCGTGCTTCTCAGCCAACCTTTCAAAATATCTAAAGGTTACTCAGTGCTAGAAATTCATCCGTTTTTGTTACTTATGCCTATCAATAGTTGGTATTTTTTTCTAGGGATCACCGCTCCCCGTAGCTCCGTCTAAGACCAGCACTTGTAAATTGGAAAGGAAATATTATAGGAACAATAAATATTAGAATCACAGGATATGCACTTACAATTATTTGCTTGTCAGCCTAGTTATTCATGAGACGGAATGGAAAAACCAGGAATCCCGATAGTTGTAAACATTTATCAGGCTACTATCTCACACTGAGAGACAGGGCGGTATTATCTCCCGGGATGGTTCCTTGGGCGGGAGGTGCCTTGATGCTAGCAAGAGGTTCTTGAATCAAGGAATCAGAAATTCTTGCTTTCCTCATATCAAAACAGATTACTTCTCATACCCAAGGCGCTGCATGACCCTTACAAGTTTAGCATTATTTAATGAATAAAATAATAATCTCCGATTATTATATCCACTAGCCTACAAGATGTCGAAAAGTTCACAAAAACAGCCAATAATGATAGTTTAAAAGCATCTTGTAAACTTAGGAAACTTGTCTACCTTGCGAAGAAAGTGATGGAGTCTTCCCGGAGTAGATCAAAAAGGTTGCCTACGAGTGGGAGGCCCTTAGGACCAGGTGGCATCCCTTTGTCGTCCGGCTGGTGCGTCACCGCATATACCAACAGCAGTACCACCACTACAACCAACACTACCGTCAACCACATCTCTAGATTTCACATGCACACCTCACTCTGTTGGGGGGATAAAGCACGAATTTCCCTCGTTTAGAGCGGAAGAGCAAACTTGTACACAGTATTACTATACAGTCTGTGGTCAATTCATATATTGATGTTGTCTGCCCAACAGCAGGAAGGTTGACAAAAGTTTAATCAAAATAAAAAAATTACACCAGGTAAACTGTCATTCTGGATATGTTACCTAAGTCATTCAAGTGTACGAGAATCACACAAGGTAAACCAGTAAAGACAAAATCAGACCATACCAGTTAAATAAGAGTCATCCTGGACCTGGGCTAAGGCAGAATATGGACCAAGAAGAATTACAACTAGAAATGCTGAATGTTACAGATAAAGCAGAAGTTAAATCATGTTTTGGCAATTACTTACAAGCAACGTCTGGAATATCTTGCTGCAAGTTTTGAGGTTAGGAACCAAAACCATTATGGTGATCACACACGTTTTGTAGTACCGTAGGTGGTCAGGCCTCAAACGCCTTTTATTATACAGCAATAAAGGAGTCAAACGGATTGGCTGAACATATCAAAGCCTGTCCTAGCATGAGCCAGTTCAGGAAGCAAGCTAAAAGGTTTTTAACGAATATAGCTATAAGAAGGGAAAAAATTAATTTCTTGTATAGTAACATTCCTATATGTATCATATTAACCTGACTTTCTCTATTTAATATTCATGTAAATAACTCTATTGTCATTCTTTTATTGTAATTGATTTTCACGCAGTTACTGAGTTATTTTACTTCTGTTGTATCTTATAACTGGGCTGCTGATAACATTTTATAACAATGAGTCAATGACTTTTTTGGGTTATCCTGGGTAATTTACACAGTTACTATGTATGATAATTATAATCACCTAAAACTTGTAACACCTGAATTAATAAACCAGGTTACACTAGGTAACACCTGAGTTAATAAACCAGGTTACACTAGGTAACACCTGAGTTAATAAACCAGGTTACACTAGGTAACACCTGAGTTAATAAACCAGGTTACACTAGGTAACACCTGAGTTAATAAACCAGGTTACACTAGGTAACACCTGAGTTAATAAACCAGGTTACACTAGGTAACACCTGAGTTAATAAACCAGGTTACACTAGGTAACACCTGAGTTAATAAACCAGGTTACACTAGGTAACACCTGAGTTAATAAACCAGGTTACACTACGTAACACCTGAGTTAATAAACCAGGTTACACTAGGTAACACCTGAGTTAATAAACCAGGTTACACTAGGTAACACTTGAGTTAATAAAACCTTACTTAAATAAAACAGGGATAAAACAGTTCAAGAAAACAAGGACGTCAGATAAACCAGGTTTAAACTGAGTAAATTATCACATCAGATAAACGTCGGATTGTTTTTCCAGGCAGAGGATAGGTATATTACGGGCATAATTAAAGATGTTAAATCATCGACACCATGCCTAACCCTTCTAGGGTAGGGTAGGTGCCTGAGCCCGAGCCTTTAGCTCATAAGACTGTCATTCCCATTAGCCCCCTTGGGGCGGGGATGGCAGACCAGAGAGGCCTAGCTTGTGGCTAGGCCTGGGGACAGTTGGTCCCAAAGATGAGGAGGTACTTGTGCCTCCTCCCATGGGAGACTTAGGTCTCAGACACTCCCTAAAGAGGGAACCGAGGCCGGGCCACCATTTGGAAAAGGCCCGGTCCGGGAGAATACCGACTAATCTTTAATAATAATAATAATAAGATATTAAATTAACCACTATCGTAATTTTATCTTCATTGTCTCATGCATCCACCAAGGATGGTGTACCTGAGCTGCTGCTCACCGCAAATATACTAAGAGTATTTCAATCTCTATTTTCGGGATTAAGGTTATCTTGACTAGTGGTGAACAGTGACATGCAGCTTTAATGACCCTCGTGTAATATATTGGGTTTAAACCCCATTAACCAACCAGTCAACCTGCTTTTACCATGCTACGAACTTTAAAAAGAAATATTCCACACTCCGTAAATCTGAGGAATTAAACAGTATTTCTTTATATAAACTTCGGCAAATTGTTTTTATAACTCTCAAGACACATCTGTGAATAACTAAACTCCACTTAACATCAAAGACTGGCCAAGAGTGACACTTTCCTATACATAACTAGACTCCACTATACATCATAGTCTGGTCTCTCTTGGTACACATCTGTCACCGTGGCTGCCAGGACCGGGGCCACACCTGATAAATGGTGACGTGGGGTAAAAAAAATACCTTTAAAGGTTGATTCTAGCCAGAGAAAAACATTGGAGTCGATCTGCCAGATGATACGTAGGGATTGGGGTACCGGATGGGAGGTGATGAAGTGCTGGATGGGAGGAGGTCAAGTGCCGGATGGGAGGAGGTCAAGTGCGGGATGGGAGGCCATGTGCTAGATTGGAGGCAATGAAATGCCGATAAGTGATGGAGGTGCCAGATAGGAGGTAGAGGTGCTAGATGAGAGATGGTGGAGTGCCGGATGGGAGGTGTCGGGGAGAGGAAGAAACGACCTATGACTCGAGTCGTGGTACGGACGAGACAGGTGACCAACCACTTTTGATTTTTACTTGATAATGGTTTATATTTTACGTCACATTGCAAATTATATGGTTAGCACACAGCACTGCCAGCACTCACACACATGTATACATGAAAAGTGTCTACATGCATATTTATGTGGTAGGTGTGGTTAGTTCAATATCTTTATTATGCACCCCATAGCCATCCTGTGGGCGGTAGTCAAAAGATTAGAGGTACATAATGAGTCCAGGGACGGTAGGTGTGGGTATACTGTTTTTGCAGTAGAAGGTTGCTGTTTAGTTGCCTCGTGGGAGCAGTGTGGGTGCGCAGGTGACCTCGATGCCTGGTTTGTGATAAGTGGTGATGAAGGTAAAATTTACTTCATACCCTCACCTCTCCGGCATTTCTTTAACAATGGCAGTCAAATGCATGATAGCCCTAATGAACCTTCAAGAGAGTATGCCTTCATGGATCACGACTTTGGGACGTCAACTAGTAGTTTAAAGACAATCCGAAAAGAACTTTTACTGATCTTTATTAACGTGAGACAGCGAGAGATTGAAACCAGTCAGCGAATCATTCAGTCATGCAGGAAGAGCATGACTGAATGATTCGCTAAGGTGCAGCCCCCTTTCCCCTCAAGGGAGGTTACTTCATGCTGTACATGAATGGTGTACAATACCGACATGATGGAAATTAGACACGTGCAACATCTGAGTATTTTTATTATAGTTCTACTGTCCTCCATTCATGTCATTGAATTTGTATTGATAAAGCCACTGGATGGCGAGACGTCTACAATAAAGATAACCAGATGTTGCATGTATCTATTTTTTACTTGATGCTGGTGAGGGACTCGAGAAAAAAGGAAATTAAACGTGTCCTTCCCTTCAGTTATCGAACCTAATCGTGTCTAGGTCCCCCAGGCACTGTATAAACCCAACGTGTTTACAGCTTCCCAGTAATTATAAAAATAATAGTGTGGCACTTTCGACAAAATCAGGAGACTCCTTGAGGTAACTACTGCCCGGTGTCTGCCGGGCTACAGTACCTCAGGGAGTTTGTTCAACCAGTTAAAATAAACCTAACTAAAAATATACCTTGTCAGGGGAACTACTGTCATACCCTAAGTCACTGTGCTTGAATATAAAAATAATGGATCAGAGACACTTTCAAAATCAAGAATTCTTAGCATATACCGTATTCTGTCGTGACTTACTATTGTAAATAAATAATACTAACTAAATAATTATACTTCAGGTATTACTCACTGAAACAAGCCGTGCTATAAAATAATAATAAAACAACTTTCAAATATTCAAGAAATGTCATTAGCATATTACCAGTAATTCTAGAAAAATACCGTGACTTTACTTATTGTAAATAAATCATAGTGACTTAACTGGCCTAACTAGATCCAGGTTATTACTAGCTTCAGGTTATTACTAGCTTCAGGTTATTACTTATAACCTGAAACAAGCTCCGTTGCAATGTTTTTGTGACTGAATTCGTGACTTAGATCAATTATTTCATCACTTCTAACTGTAAACACTTTATAAATTTGTAAATAGTTCATTATGAATGTATCTTAATTTGTCCTCAAAATGTAGGTAGAGACACGTGTATACAGATCCCGACATTTATTAAATTAAACGTTTCGCCACGAGTGGCGAAAATATCCAGTACTGTTTATAAGTGTCCTGTCCCACACTTGGGCGGTATCACCACACCATTTACAACCAGCTAGCAAAATATTTTGGTCCAGCTCCTGGACCCATCATGTGGCTCTCCAATCTTTCGACTACGCTCACTTGATAGTTACAGAGTGCATAATAAAGCTATCGAACTACAAAAAAAAGAACTTCTGGAAAGTTATTATAATTACTTTTACTAGATACACGAAAACCTTTTACTCAAACTTGAATTAACAGGTACTGGAGTTTCATGTCCAGGACTGGAGTGCTTTCAGACAAAGAGTATGACTTGCCATTACTTAACATAAAAAAAAAATGTTTTCACAGTGGACATGAGGGCACACCGATAACAGCGGCACCTCAGGCTGTATTATATATTATGTAGAATTCCTATGAATGCAAATAATGTGTGTAATTGTTATTGCGGCTCCTCTCCTCTGTTTTCCCTGGCTTTTGCGTCCCGTTGTCTCAAACTCGCGATGCTGCTGCTTATCTTCCATATTTCGATGTGTGTGTGTGTGTGTTTTCTCTTATTGGTCGTTTCAGGGTGTCGAGCCTCGTCTCCTGGCTTGCCTCTCAACTTGCCACTTGGCGATTCACTCTTACCCTTGTGGACCCTATCGTACCTTCTCTTAAAACTATGTATGGAGCCTTCTCCACAACTTCTTCATCGAGACCACTCCATGTCCCAACCTCTCTTGAGACTGAAGAAATACTTTATGACATCCCTGTGGCCATTAATTAAACATTTTTGGTACAGATTTGGCCTTTGTTTATTTGTTAATTTATTA